TTATCATGCAAAAAACTTTTCACGTAACATTTGTTTAATAGTTGTGCTTAAATTGAAGGCAAATTAAAAACAGTTTTGTTTACTCGGATTCAGTTGCTGTTGGGATAGTGTACTACTGATGATCTGAGCTTTCAAACGGCTTAACACGATATTTATCTCAACTTATATTTGCTTATCATTTGTTCACAATTAGTGTTTTGTTGACACTTTAAATAATGATTGTTTACAAACAGAAAAAAATCAATTCTTGGCTTTAATTATAAAACTCGTTGCGAAAGAAATTTAATCAATTAATCCGAACCCTACAGTAGTATGCTATGAGATTATAGTCATTATACATTGTATGAAATATTGTTCACTTGCTAATCCAGAATATTGTGTTTATTTTTCTAATTAACATACAGTAATTTAGAGTACGGTATATTATAGATTTTATTAAACGTAATTAATTTAAATTAAATATTTATTTTTGTTAAATTATGGTAGTATCTTAAAAATATTTTTTATTAATTAAATTATATAATATAAATATTTTTGTTTTATATGTAAATTACATTATTTAGTATTTAAATTAATTACTTAACGAGAAATAACTACATTAATTAATTTTATAAATTAAATAATACTCTAATTTTAAATATACGTATAAGTAGTATTTATAGTACTACAGTACTATATCTCTGTTGATATAATAAAAAGGACTTTTCATAAAATCTTTAATATTTTAATCTTCTGAGTAATACCTATGGAAAAGCTTACGGAAACACAAAATAGTATGAATTTCAAAATGTCCTTTACGTATTATCAGGCCTCATATGTATTACAAAATCTAAAGAATTGTCAAATGCTAAATTAAATATTAATGTTTTAAAAGTTAAATTAAAGGTTAAGTTATAATGGTACAGTAGTTTCTTTTATAATTTTTACAAAAATAATGACTTTAATGCCTTTGTAAGATATACAAAAATAGATTTACAAGAATTTAATTAAATATACAAATAAGTCAAACAAAAATATAATTTTACTAAGAAATGAAGTATTTTTATTATTTTCTGTTTACTGAAATCGACACATGTATGCCTTATATTGTACAATAAATTATAAAGTATCTTATAATAAATACTATATAATACTACTATAAAAAGGTACTATACAAAATACAAATAATAGATTAATATAAATTATAATTGAATAAATATTATTGAGTATGCTTCTCAACATTTTGCATCAGAATTATTAGTTGGACATGTTATTCAGACATATTTACATAAAAGGTTGTTTACTTAAAAATTTTAATCTTAAACTATAATATAAAATTAATATGCATGTAAAATAAGAAGCTACAGTACTCAATCCATAGAAATTATACAGTAATCAGTTACTGTATGCTATAACTTCTTAAATCCTCGGAGTATTAGATTGAAAATAATATTTTGTAATGGTAAGATGTTTTGATTATATGTGATAAGAATAATATTATATATAAAAATTAATATATTATATACAAAAACTCTTCAAATCCAGTCATTTCAAGAGAAAACAAGATTTGATATAAAAATAAATTCTTGAGAACTTCTCTCAATATTCTCCACTCATATAAATATTTAATATAATGTCGTATTTTTATACGAAATATAAATGCAACTCAACAGGTGTTTATATAAGCAATAATAGTGCCATAAGAATCGATACACTTTGCTATAATTGAGTTAATTCTTATAAAATCTTAGCATCAAATCTAATAAAATTGACCTTTCTTATAAAGTATCTCAATATGTTGAGTAATCAGCGCTTAAGCAAACAAGTTTATACCAGAATATATTCTGTGTGAACCTATATTGAATATTTTCAGTATACACTTTTATTCTAGCATTAATATTTTTAAATAATATTAATTTATTTAAAATATTTGAAACTTGTTATCAATTTAAACATTACTTGTTAATCAAAAATCATTAATAAAATGTAGACATAATTTTTTATCTGTTGTACCATCATTTTTCTGTATATAAATTGACCTTTAGGTCAACCATCGTGTATTTTAGATTCAGTAGCATCTCATTTATAAATAGGTATTCATGTCGTAAAAATAACAATAAATTAGAGATAAAAGTGTGGATTATAAGTCCAGAAGTGCAATGTATTATAAATTGATGCCAATATCTCACTCGCATTCTCTATCTTTCTTTCTCTGACTTTCTTTCTCTGACTTTCTTTCTCTGACTTTCTTTCTCTGACTTTCTTTCTCTGACTTTCTTTCTCTGACTTTCTTTCTCTGACTTTCTTTCTCTCCGTCATATATTCGTTAATTTTCTCAAACTATTTAATTATTTCTTTTTAACATAAACATTGGATTCAATTATTTAGTTACATTATACAGTTATATTGTAATTATTTAGTAAATTTTGTAAACTTTGTAAAAGTTAATAACATATTTCTTATTAACAATAAATTCAAATCAAGAATATTTGACTATTACGCAAAACACATAGCATGTTAATATACCAAGATTATTTCCAACAAGATATATTAATTACAGTTATAACTATAATGTGCAGTCCTTTGTCCTAAATTCCCAAAGCCTTGGACTCGATTGAAACCCTATGCCCAACCAAACGGAGCCATTCATGTAATGATAACTCTTACTCGTGTGCATGTAATAAAATATGATGAGATATAATGCCATTTAGACGTATAAATTGCAATAAAATTATGTTCAAAGTTATTGAAAGAATATTCTTGCGATATATAGTAAGACACGAGTTGTTGTGTCTGTATTTCAGTCGTAAGGAAACGGCAGATGATTAAAGACAGCACTTATAGTTTGTTAAAACCGGGGACAAGTAGTCACTAAATGATGTGACTTTAGTGTTATTAATAATGTAGTAAATTATAAACATTGAATTTATACACACATAATAATCATTAAATATAAAACAAAAAATATTACAATATTATGTTAACACAAGGGGGAAAACCAAAACTATACTATAATATTATTGTTAACAAAAAAAATTGTCAAAATATATTATGAATAAAAACTTATATAAAAACAAATAGTGAATGATATGCTACTTGTGTAAGGATGTTATTACCTTGTTAACTTAATTTATGATTTTATAATTTCTATTAAAATTCTATGTTTGTATTACGATCGGAAAATTTATATTAATTGGTTACTCCCGGATAAAACTTTATTATTTATTATACAATTTTAGTAAACATGTGTTGAGGACAATGTGTTAACCATTTGGCTGTCAGCAGTGAAATATAATATTATTAAATAGACATTTGGGTTCATTTGTTTATTATAACAAATTATCAAACCGACAAATTGTTTCCGTTTTTATCCAAAAAATTAATGTTTCTTAATGTTAATACTTTTTGTGTGTAAAAATTAACGTTAAATCATAGATTAAGCATTAAGTGTATGAATGAACTTCACTATAACTGTTAGGGTATTATAAAACTAAAATTTATTTATAATGTAATACATAATAATATTACATTATATATTATATAAGTTAGTAACAATTGTGTACTATTTTATAGCTCGTTATAAAAGCATTCATTAAAAAAAATTCTCAAACTTGCGTGTGTTTTATGAATAATAAATAGCAAGTTTTCACATAATAGTATACTAATAAGTTGTGCAATAAAATTTGACACTTAATTTCTTTGCATAAATTAGATACTGTAGTAGTAAAAATAAAATAAAATATTTAATAAGCTTTCAAAAATTATCTCACATTAGACATAAGAATATAATAAAACAAATCGTAAACGAATTTACGTAAGCAATTCTCACGATATATAAAATTCTGCTTAAAATTCCGCTCAGATTTGTGTAAATATATAATTTATGATATATGAAGTGCTGGTGAAATAACAAATTTCACTCATTTTTCTCAGTCGAGAGACGTATCTGATTGAATGGTTTGATTTTCAGTGCTTGAATTATAAATATGATAAATATCATGAAATAAATATTATGAAAGAAAAGCGATTCTCGAAGGCATTCACATCTTTGTGTGCAATTCTCTCGCAAGTATTTCCCTTAAAAGTCGACTATAAATGTGAGAATCATTTCCTTAAAAGTGACTCAATTCACGGACTGGTGTTTTGATTTGCATTTGAAAACAGCATTTGATAAGTATTTTTTACAAAAACCTCTAAAAGTTATATTTGTTGTTTGGATTTCTAGACTTTTAACAACAACAAGAATATTGTGGTTAAAAATTGGGAAGAATTGCGAAAAAAATATTGAATATTAGATGAACTGTCAAATCGAAAGTGTTTTTTAATAAAGGATACGCTCTTTCCTGTATTGATGTCGAAATTGTCGGCTACCAGTCCTCCGCCACTCAAATCAAATATAGTGCACAACATTTGGCAATGAATGCAATCATCTCTCTATAGAATCCATAGTTGAATATTAAATGATAGGAATATTCTATAAAATTCTTATCAAATATCTCTCATGTATGCCATTATTTATACCAAACATCTCTTCGGGCTCTCCATCGGGTAATACATACTAAAGGACAGGGAGTTCGTTGTGTATTGAGTACCGTATATATCAAGCATTTCTTATTAATAGGATATTTGCTGTGGACCTCTGGTGTGCGCATACTTTTCCCACAACTCACGAGTGAGTGAATGCGAAAACCAAAGCCCAGAGAAACAACTTTCTATATATTTGTTATGCTTTTATGCAAACAAACCATCAGTAAGTTCTTGTCAGTGCATAAGAGGAACTGTAGTCTTACTATATATTTCTCGCTATAAGAAAAACTTTTTTACTTCTCAGTCAGTCCCCAAATCGGCCACTCTTTGCCTCACATCTAGTCTAATGGTTTGTGTCCATACGAGTGATCGACAAATGTCTTGCAATCTCTTATGCCCTAAAATTGTTGTCATCACACTATTCATTGATATTAAGAATCAAATTCTCGTCAAATGACAAACATTTCACTACTTTTAGCCAAAAAATGTCACAAATGGTTATTAAGGTAAACACCAATTACAACAGTAGTGGTGGTGGTGTGGAGGCCACCCAAAACTACTTATATATCACTACTGTTTTGCCACAGAATCCGTACTCCGGAGCTATTGGTGAGGAAAATGTAAGCCTTTTAGCCAAGAATACCACAAATACTGGAGACGATTATATGCCGTATGAAGAGCGGTTGGAGACATACATAGTTCCCGTCATATTCACCATCATATTTATCGTGGGTGTCATCGGAAACGGCACTTTGATTCACATTTTCATTCGCCACAAATCCATGCGGAATCTGCCCAACACTTTCATCCTATGCCTGGCGGTGGGCGACCTACTGGTGATCGTGGGTACTGTTCCCTTCATAAGTCTCATCTACACGCTGGACAGTTGGCCTTTCGGTGGGTTTATCTGCAAATTAAGTGAATTTTTGCGCGACGTGTCCATCGGAGTGACAGTTTTGACACTAAGTGTGCTGTCGTTTGACCGATACGTAGCCATTGCGATGCCATTCAGCAAAATCAATGACAATATCTCCACCAAAACCACATACTCGGTGGTGATAGCCTTGTGGATCANTTGCGCGACGTGTCCATCGGAGTGACAGTTTTGACACTAAGTGTGCTGTCGTTTGACCGATACGTAGCCATTGCGATGCCATTCAGCAAAATCAATGACAATATCTCCACCAAAACCACATACTCGGTGGTGATAGCCTTGTGGATCACATCCTTGTTGTTCGCCATACCCGGCGCATATAACTCGCAGGTCATTACCTACAACATCAGCGACGACTTGCACATCAAAGTCTGTTATCCATTCCCACCGGAATTGGGTGATTGGTACCCGAAAGTTGTGGTTATCTTAAAGTTTGTCTTCTTTTACGTCATACCGTTGATGACGATCGGCTCGTTTTACGCGCTGATGGCCAGGCATTTGGTGAAGAGCTCGCAGCAGGTGAACGGCCTGACCGTCAATCAGCACAACAAACACATTGAGTTGAGGACACGAGTGGCCAAAATGGTGTTCACGTTATCCGTCATATTCGCCGTCTGTTTCTTCCCAAACCACAGTAAGTATCACTCCATTAGGAAACCTTTCAATCAGGCAATAGATAAGCGATTTCTAATTGATAGGACTTAATTGATCAGGGATTATTATGGCCTTATAAAAATAGTTATTAAATAGGATTATAACTTTGTTTTTATTATTAGCACTTCCTTGTTGAGAGCAATTTATCAATTTAGTATTTTATTATATTTAATAGATTTTTATACATTAGCCCCTGGTCATAATTGGGTCAGTTTATATATATTACTGTTTTAAATCTCTTAACTATCGCCATAGATTTCATTCAATCCTTTCGCACAGAATATTCATTAATTATTTAAACCATGGCTGAAAAACCAGACTATTTGTTTAATTAATTAACTAAACTTTTTTTTGTCTCTTTTTTATTTTGTTTGCACAGTATTTATGATTTGGTTTTACTTTACGTTCCCAAACTCAATGGATAACTATAATACGTTTTGGCATATCTTCAAAATTACAGGCAATTAAATGCTATTTCTATTTATACAGACATACAGGTGACCAAAAGGGTCAGCTTGGTCATAATATTTAGATATATCATGAGAATTGAATTTGTTTGTAACTATAATTATGTTCAGAGCTCTCATTTCAAGTAATACTAATGCATAGCATCACGTGAAAAAATATGATAAGAAAATACTTGATAAACAGATTAAAATTCTGAAAGCATGTGATTTTGCTGTAAACATATTTTGATTTTAA